GTGTGTGTGTGTGTGTGTGTGTGTGTGTGTGTGTGTGTGTGTGTGTGTGTGTGTGTGTGTGTGTGTGTGTGTGCGTGTATGCATGCATGCAGGTCCATACATACAGTGATCAGCCAGTGCGACATCAGGGCATGTGTTCTTAAAACAGGGAGTCTCTGGTTGTTTTGCAGTGGGAGGAATCGCTTAGCTGCAAAGCATCAACATGTCCGACAGCTGTGGGACAGATCTGCAGCTGTGTGTGTGTGTGTGTGTGTGTGTGCGTGCGCGCGCTCGTGTGTGTGTGTGTGTGCATCGGGGTCGTCCGTTGGCAGGAAGCAGTAGGCAGCGAGTGATGTGGTCAGACCCTCTGTCGCCAGAGAGAGAGGGAGGTCCTGTCTCTCTCTCTCCCTCTCTCCCTCTCTCTTCTTCTTCTCTTCTTCCTGTTGCTTGTTTTCTTTTCCTGATCATTGTTCTTCATTAGAGAGAGAAAAGAAAACACAAACAGTCGCAGACTCATTTAGCTTTGTGAAGGCTGCTGCTGATGAGTGTCAGACTGCTGCTGATGTCCATGTGCTCAGATCGAGTGGAGCAGAGCTGCGTCTCATTCGTTTGTTTCTGGACTCTGTGTTTTAACCTTAAAGTCAGGAGTGACCTGTGGAGATATAGAATAGTTTTTTGGTAGACATAATTATTCTTGTTCTCATGTAGGTGCCTGCGTAACCTACCACACACACACACACACACACACACACACACACACACACACAGACACAACTGTACAACGTTTTAAAGATAAATTGATTAATTTATATTATAAGATCCAGGAGTTAAATAACAATAAATTCCTACAAATATTTTTTGGAATCTGATCAAAATGTCTCTTTGGAATCAGTTGATCGAGGAAATGAACCTTTAGTGATGATTTCATTTCGTACACTTCTTTTATTTTTAGTTTTCTTTCACTTCTTTAATTTTTCAGTTTTAAACATGTTTTGTTTTTCTGTCCCCGTTTCTGTTGTTAGCATCATTTGATCATCTGATTTTCGTTCCTTCAGTTTCCATTTTTTCACCGATTTACGTGGATCTCGTATTTTTCCCGTCAGAAAAAAAACATTAATGAAAAACAAAAGACATCAGGAATGAAAACATGAAGATGCTGAAAGAAGAACAGGGACTTTTTCCAAATTGGTTTAGTTTGTAGAGGGAGAGAAAAGTGATGGAAAAAGGGAGAGAGAGAGGGAGAGAGAGAGAGAAATCAGTGTGGAAAATCATTTTTGTAAATACAGTGAGCAAATCAAAGGGCTGGAGGAGCGAGGGAAGGCGAGTGAGTAGGAGTTAAATTGAGGGAGTCAGGGGGACAATTAGATGGGAATTTCCAGTGTTAGTGAGCTTTTGTTAAAACAGTAAGAGAGTGAATGAGAGCTGTGAGTGTTTTTTATGCATCAAATTTATATCTGAACTGTCACAGGACATTTGATTTACTGTAAAAATGGAGGGATTTTTTTTTTTTTTTTATAATAAATGAAAAAATGACCCCCCCCCCACTCACTGTTAAAGTTCTGATAAGGTCAGATGTAATAAGTAACTGTTTGGAAAATTTCCAACGTGGCACAAGCCCCCGAACCGAGTGGCGTCACATTAACGTAGACCACGGCAGCAGCGGGGTTAAACGCAGAGAGGCAGCGACGACATTTTCACACCAACATTCAAGATCAATTAACAGTTAAATGAGTTAAATAAAGAAATTAAAGAGAGATTCTAATCAGATTAGTTTAGAGGTTGTTGTTTTTTCCCTCTCTCGCAGTGCAGGAAAAAGAGGGGAAAAAACAATATAATAATAACCAGAATCATATTTTACATCTTAATCCACGTCAGCTGTGTCGATGAAATTCTGAATGTGAAGCAAAAAGGCTGCACCAACAGTTTATCAGTGGATTAACATCCTGTCATTTCACGCTTGTTTTACACCGGGCAGTGGAATTATCTTTATCACAAATTATGAGAATTTATAGGTTGATTTCCTCTGAATCTGTGTTCCTATTTGACTAATTTTTGCACGTCATGATTTAAATCCAGCGTCATCGTTCTGTGAGTAGCGTGTCCGGTACTTTCCTGAAGGAGACGGGGATCAGCTTTGGAATTAATTTTTTTTTCCTTTTTGTGAAACTCTAAGTAGATTTTTTTTTTTTTTTAAACCAGCTTTAAATATTTATTAACTTCATTTCATCTGCTACAATCCACAATCTTTCTTTTCCCCACATGGTCCAGAGGTGACTGTCCCATTTGTTCCTTCACTACAAGCTCTGGCAGTAAACGTTTCCTCACACAAATTTGAAATTGAAATTAAGTCGCTTTTAAAGAGAGAGAAAGTAAAAGAGAGAGAGAGGGAAAGGGAAGAAGGGAGGGACAAAAAGAGAGAGAGAGATAGATATAAAGACATAGCGAAAGCAAGAAGAGTAACAGGGAGCGGGTGAGAGACACAGACAATAAGGAAGAGAGAGAGAGAGAGAGAGAGCAAGACTATAAGGTTCCTTAGCACAAGCAGCAAGGGCAGACCAGTCCTGCCCCCTAGAGGCAGTGTGTGTGTGTGTGTGTGTGTGTGTGTGTGTGTGTGTGTGTGTGTGTTTTCCTGAAGAAGAGAGGGACATCCTGTGACAATGACTCAATGCTTCCCCCCCAACACGAACACACACACACACACACACACACACACATGTTGTTTACCCCTTTGAAGCTGTTAACAGACATTTCCCACACACACACACACACACACACACACCATGATCATCAGTGACAAACTATTTTTTTTATGCAGAAAAAAGTTGTTTTCAGTGTGTGTGTGTATGTGTGTGTGCAGCTCATGGCCTCAGGTGAAAGCGCCTGCTGCTGTTTCCTCGCAGAGAAAAGTGTGTGTGTGTGTGTGTGTGTGTGTGTGTGTGTGTATGAGGAGAAGAGAGCAGACAGAGGAGGGGGGGTGAAGTGTGCAGAGCCAGGAGGAGGAGGAGCAAGGAGAGAGGAGAGGGGGGTGGGCGTGGCTTCTACAACTTTAGTCAGAGGCTCTCTATGTCTCAGTCAGTTGATCGCAGGACACCGACTCTCACACACACCCACACACACACACACACACGCACTTTGACACACAATCACAGTGTGGAGTATCAGCGCTCGAAACAGGACGGACAGACAGAGGGGGAGAACTGCACCTGTCCCACACACACTCTCTATCCTCACACACACATACAGAGGATCTGACCGGTCGTCCTTATGTGTGGATGGGACCAAAGTTACACGGTGAGTGCAGAGCAGCTTTTTACACTTTTACAAAAAATATCAACACAGAAGAAGAAAGAAATTTTTCCTCTTTTTTTTTCAGCTTTTAATTTAGATTTCAGCTGCTTTTTAAATTTGTTTTTTTCAATTTTGAAATTGTGTTAAAAATTAAGCTGTTTTTACAACAGATAGAAATAGATTTTTAAAGAATTTTGGCCACTTGAATCCAAATTTATGCAATTTTATCGTCTTTAACTTGCTTTTTTGCCTTTTTTGCTGCTTGTTTCTGACTGGAAATCCAAAGCGGTTTTTATTTCTCACTTTTAATTTGATGAGATTTTTTATTAAACAGTTAAATTGGTGAATTTTGCTCTAGTTTAAATTGTTTTAACTCTCACTCGGAGGAAAATATCTCCATGTTTTGAGAAGCTGGAAGGTGTTTGTCTAGGTTTGCTCAGCTTTTCAGTTTGGGATTTAAGGCTTCTTTTTTTCTGCAGACTTTAAGGAGTTGATATTTGTTTGGTGAACATTTGCCAGGAAAAGTGTCACTCAATAATGGCTTTCAAATGACAAAGAGTCTGAGGGGGATTTCCTATTTGTTTCCCCCTGATTGGTGCTTAAACCGCTCAAACACTTTTCATCTTGACTTATTTAAATGCACCTTATTTTGAAATTACCTCCGGCTGCGTGCAGACTCAGCTTTTGTATTTTCAGTTGGTCTAAATGAGAGGCGAATTGTTTCTTGGTTCTTGGTTTCACTATTAGTTCTCGATGTTGCAGCTGTTATGCAAAGAACGTTCTGGGTTCTGCTGAGAGGTGAAATATTGAGAAACATTTCCATATGTGAGCAGGTCTTTTTCTATGTGTCATTTTAAAGGCAAATCAGAGCAGATTCTGTTGTTCTGTGTTAGAAGGTAGAGCCCCTGTTCAGCAGAAATGAACTTTTCTTGTTAGTTTTACAGCTCAAGTAAAGGAGTTTGTGCTTCTGTAGGAGTTAAATGTGATTTCAATGAGTTTTATTGTTAAAGTAAAGATGCAGACATCTGCATTTTCTTAATAATTCAGGTTCTGTGGAGTGTTTTTTTTAATAAAAACAGAGAGTTTGTGTTTTGCAAAAGCTCAAAAAACAATAACATTCCTGTCAATATGAAGTGATAATGAAGCTGATGACTTTTTTTTTTTTTTTTGCTAGTACCTGGCTCCTGGAAGGGATTTTAATGTGAAAATGTCAGTGTTTGTCTTTTAAAATCCCTTCTGATCAGTAACCAGAGGAGGTGTAAGTGTCATTTTTCTGCTGCTGCGTGGAACAGAAGTGGGTCACAGCGACTGGAGCCAGTTGGATGTGAAATAATTTTCTTTCTTGCGGCTGCAAAAGAATTCACAGAGCTGAGTGTGGTCACTGAGGATCTGCCGCTTTCCGCTCGTCTGCGTGGGACGAGCGGCATGTTTGTCCCTGTGTGGATATCTGCCTCTCTCTCTGTGTGTGTGTGTGTGTGTGTGTGTGTGTGTGTGGGATTGTCTTGGGTGGGATCGCGTTTGAAGTTTTGTTTGCGCTGCTGTGGCCCCCCAAATGGAAAAGTTTTGGCGCTCCCTTCCTCATCACCACCACCACCACCACCCCCCTCCTCCTCCTCCTCCTCTCTCTCGTCCATTACCAACACAAGCACACACACACACACACACACACACACACACACACACACGCTGGGAGTCGGGATGATTTGCCGGTTCCGCTGCAGTGCCACTCTGCTTCCAATTTTAGCTTCATTCAGACACAGACAGCATTTCCTTCCTCTGGCTTCAACCCCAGGGGGGGAAACAAAGGGGGGAGGGGGGGGGGATACAGAGGAGAGATTTCAGGTCCATAATCTGGATAAATCCCCCACATTCACACTGCTGAAAACAAACTTTCTCCTGCACATAGAAACTTGTAGCTGTCTGAGCTGCACGTTCACCGTCTCTGTGTAAAAAATTTAGTCAAATGAAGGAAACATGAAAAGTGTCTTCAGGGAGGACGAAAGCGAGAGAGAGAGACGCTGGAGACGGAGAGCGAGAGACACAAATTTATCTGAAACCGCTGATAATTAAAGTTAAATCAGTCGCCGTTTCTCTCCAAAATGAAGCTAAATTGTTAATAGGAGGATTTATCATTCCTTATAGCGCTTCACGTGAGACGTGTTGAGTTCCTCTATCAGTTCCTCTTCATCGTCATGTGTGTGTGATCAAAGTGTCCTATCTCCTGAGTCATTCTTAATGTCACCTTGTGGTTTTTATGGATGTAAAAGAGAGAGAGAGATTTATCTTGAAGCCTGGAAACACAAACGCAAAAATTCATGTTGCATCTGAGGTTTAACACAAAGCTGAAGCTTCCTGTGTGGTTTTAACGTTAAGAAAAAAAATGTGACTGTGTTCAAATTTTTTTTTCTTTGGGGGAGGGGGGTGGTAATGGCCATATTATATTTTTATCATTATTTAATTTAAGTGTACTAATTATTTCTGGAGTCATGAATGAATGAATGTAGGTTTTATCCCATAATTGTTTCTGTAAATAGTTGACAAGACAGTTTCCTGTCTGTTTCTAAGTGTGTGTGTGTGTGTGTGTGTGTGTGTGTGTGTGTGTGTGTGTGTGTGTGTGTGTGTGTGTGTGTGAGAGAGAGACAGCAGCATTAGTCAGACCCCCCCTCCTTCTTGAGTCACCACACATAATAATCACAGTTCTTCCTCTCCTCCTTTTTTTCTCTCTATTCATCCCTTCATTTGTCTTAATCTTCTTTCTGTCTTTATCCTTTTCTTTGTTTCACCCATTTTATTTCTTCTCCCTCCCATATCTTTCTTACTTTAGTCCACCACCTCTCCTTTCTTTCTTTCTTTCTTTCTTTCTTTCTTTCTAATTCTTTCTTTCTTTCTGTCTTCCTTTTATCACATTTTCCTTTGTTTCTCATGGTTTCTTGTTCCTCCCTCCTCTGTTTCTGCCGTCCTTCCTCTCTCCTTCTTTCTCTTCCTTTTTATTTTCCTTTCTTCTCTCTGTTTTCTCCTCCTACTACCACTTTCTTTCTTTCTCTCTTTCATTCTTTCTTTATTTCTTAAACTTGTAACTTTTGGTTTTTCTTGATGCAAATGTTTGAATAAAGTAAATTAAAAATGAAAATATCTCTCTCTCTCTCTCTTTCCATCTCTCTGCCTGTGTCTCTCAACCCAGGCGACCTCTCATAGCTCGGCCATGTTGACCAGTGAGGGGGCGCACACCATGGAGCAGGACGACTCGCATCACGGACCTAAGATGGCCTCCACCGCCACCACAGCTGCCGCCGCTTCCAGCTCGGGCTCAGACGGGACCGAGACGATGACAGACACAGACGTGGACATGGAGATGGAGATGGAGGAGGCAGACATGACTCAGTGGACGGAGGCAGAGTTTGAGGATAAGTGCACATACATCGTCAAGGACACGGCGTGGGAGGCGGGGCCAGACGGTGACGCCATCATGACGACGACGACCAGAGCCGAGGCGTCACTGCCCCGAAACCTGACCTTCAAACACCCAGCTGACAGCAAGGAGGTCAGACTCAACACACACACACACACACACAACGGCAGACACAAACTTTCTCTCCAGACAAAATTTTTCATATACACACACACACACACACACACACACACACACGAGCCATCTGTACATACACACTCATGTGAGTCAGAGGTGGGTCATATAATGAAGAGGGGGTCGTGTCTCGTTGTAAAGTTTCACACACACACACACTCACATATTAGAGAAAGGAATCTGTGTGTGCGAGGGTGTGTGAAACGCCTGGAGCAGAATTTACACACACACACACAAAAACACACACACACACAAACACACACAGTGTAACCGAAGTGCGCTGTGTGTTCAGGCTGCATCTGCATCAGCTCGTACCCGTCAATTAAAACTCATTCATCATCTGTGGAAATGAGGAAGGCAGGATCTTCTCGTGTGTGTGTGTGTGTGTGTGTGTCATCTTCCATACAACTCCTGTTGTCAGTAAACTGCTGCAGTACCACACCCAGCTGGCAGGGGGTGCAGTACAGCATTTTAAACAAACTGCAAACACATCAAACAGAGTGTTGGCATGAACTTTGAAAACCAAGATGCTTCATATGTCAAATCTACACTGGCAAAATGTCAAGAACAGGACGTTTAGTGTCTCAAAGGAGTGAATTTGCATTTGGAGACATTTATTTGGGCTTCAGGTTTGCATCAAGACTAATTAAATTTAATTGCACTCTAAATTCATCACGCATCTCTTTATGGCAGTGAGCAGCTTCAGTAAATCTCCTGCTGCAGCCGTGGATCTTTGCGTCGTGTTTTTCAAAGGAACTGGATCTGTGCGTGACTTCAGGTCAAGAGGTCGCAGCTTTGCCACTCGTTTTTTGACCGTCTTTTTTTCTCTTTTTTTTTTTGCAAAGTTAAAGCGACGTGATCACATAGATTTTCTCATCAGGGGCTTATCAGCGAGGTAACTGAGGAAAAGAAGCGAGGAGGGAAAGAGAGGAGCTGATACACTATCAGCTGACATGAAGAGAGAGGAAGGAGGGAAAGGCTGAGTGTGTCGCTCTGATCAAAGAAGATTGAGAGAGAGAGAGAGAACATTGTAAAAGCCTGTTAACAAGTCCTCTTACATACACACGTGCACATACACACTAACACACACACACACACACACACTCACTCATATCTGGTTCTATAGGGGGAATCAGGGAAAAGGGGATTTCCCATGTCACCAGGGAACGAGAGGGTTTGGGAAAGGCATTTGTTTGCGTGGGTTCTGCACGAATATCATCCTCGGCTGGAGCCTGACATCCAGTCAGTACATAATCCCTCGCTTTTCTCTTCTTCCTCTTCTTCCTCCTCCCATTTTTTTTTTTTTTTTTTGGTCTTTGATTGAATCGGATGAGGAACAAAAAAAAAACTTTTTTTTTTTCTTTTTTTTTTTTCTTTTGAGTATTTGGATGTTTCCCCCCTGAAGCCTGTGAAGTGGCGGTGGTTTTGTTTTGATGTGGCGACGAGTGCAGGTGTGACGAGACACACACACACACACACACACACTCCTTCAATGAACTGAAGCATGACGTTGGCTCATTAATCATCGTCTCTGTTGACAGTTGGTTAATAGTGTGTGTCTATGAGTTTGAATTTGTACGTACAATTAGACTTAATTAGACTAAATGACATGTAACTGATGGATGCGCACAACAGCGTGAGACACACGCACGCAGTCTGCACCTACGGCAAGCCATGTGGTCAGAAGCTTTTCTTTTGTGGATGAAGATCTTCACGTGTGCAGATGCAGTTTTAACCTCTTAACATCTGTTTTAAAGGCATTAAAGGCAGATTAATGCGTTTCATGTCGCAGCGTCATCACGCCGTTGTGGATTGATGCTTAAATTTGCTGCAAGACGCCACATTATTACCTGTTAAGATGCTCAAAGATGTAAAGATCTTTACACTAAATCAATTTCAAAGGCCTTTTTTGTAACCTGCCCGTGTGTGCGTGTCTTCCTGCAGGTGGTCGGCGTGTGCAGCAGGGAGTACATCCCCAAAGGAACTCGCTTCGGTCCCCTGGTGGGCGAAATCTACACAGCTGACAGCGTCCCCAGAGATGCCAACCGCAAGTACTTCTGGAGGGTGAGTTAATACACTTGCGCGCACACACACACACACACACACACACATGCAAACAAAGAGTCACGGAAAACTCACATTCATACAGACACACACATACACTTCTTCAGAAGCCGGAGGGACCCCTTTCTGTGACGTCAGTCAGTGGAACAGGAAACTGGGCTCTTGAGAGACGGGGATGTGATGTCACCTTTACACAAATAACATGTCACACTGTGGTTCCTGTAAGTCCACACACACACACACACACACACACACCCACACATACACACACACACACACACACACACACACATCATTCGGCAGAATACACTCAACTCCATCACTACCGGTAACTCACAGTGAGAGTGCACACTCTCACAAACCACCAACCTGACCACTGCCTGTGTGTGTGTGTGTGTGTGTGTCTGTGTGTGTGTGTGTGTCTGTGTGTGCGCGTGCGTGAAAAGAAAGACTCAACATGCACCAAACCACAAGCAGACACAAAATCAGAAAGGTGTTTTCATTCACACACACACACACACACACACACACACACACACACACACACACACACACACACACACACACACACACACACACACACACACACGCACGCACTGAGAGAATGAGAGATCGAGATAGAGAGAGTGAAAGAGAGAGGGGGAGGAGACGTCCTTTCTCTTTTCAATATAAAAGAGGATGTCTTCCTCCTCCTCATCACTCTGTCTGTTCGTCTGAGGGAGATGAAGGTGACGAGAGGAGCATGGTGAGGAACGAAGGGATGGCGAGAGAGAGAGAGAGGTGGAGGGAGAGACGAGAGAAGTGTAGTTTATATTAAACTGTCTGGATTCAGTCTCCATAGTTAACTAATTAATTTGTTATTTATTACTTTTTATTTGGTAAGTTACTTATTTACTTACTGACTTTTTTTAGTCACTTTATTTTTAATATCGTCAGTTAAACTCTTATTTTGTTACTTTTACGCACTTTTTGAATGGATTAGTAACTTTTTTACTTAGTTTTTGTACTTTATTGTTTATTTATTTATTTATTTATTATATCTTAATTATTTGTTTAATTCTTTACTTATTTTGTCTTTTACCATTTATTTGGATTTTTGCTTTTTTGTTACTTAATAATTTATCTACTGATGTAATCACTGAGTCTTAAAATTTACTGACAAATTTATTGAGCAATGTTCTTCCGCTAAGTCTGCAAAGTAATGAAAAAGAGGGAAATAAAGGAGAGGAAAAGAAACTTTTGTTTTATTGATTAAAAAAAATACTTTTATTGCTTTTATTCCAACTAAATTAAGTCTTTTATTTTTGTTAAAATTTCTGTCTCACCTGTTCTTATCAGAGAGAAAGAGGGAAAAAGGAAATAAAGACCAACTTAATTAATAGAAAAAATTAAAACACACTAAATTTTACATTTTAATATTTTTTTTGACTAAACTCTAATTAATATTTCTTTCCTTCCCTCCCTCTCTCCAGATCTACACAGACGGGGAGTTCCATCACTTCGTCGACGGCCTGGATGAGACTCGCTCTAACTGGATGCGGTACGTGAACCCGGCCCACTCGGCGGCGGAGCAGAACCTGGCGGCGTGTCAGAACGGCATGGAGATTTATTTCTACACGGTGAAGCCTGTTCCCGCAGGCGCAGAGCTGCTCGTCTGGTACTGCCACGACTTCGCCCGGCGCCTCCACTACCCGCCGTCGGGAGAGCTGATGATGCAGAAACTCAGTAAGTTCATGTGATTTTTTCTTTTTTTAAGTAGATATATTTAGTCAGAAATGGAAAATAAAATAGTTCAATATTTTGAATTTTTAACACTTGCAACAGCATTCAGCTGACTTTTATTGTGAAAGGACAGGGTATTTTTTATTAAACGTGTCATGCTCTGAGCTGCTAACATGAAAAACCTAAAATCAATAGGAGATGTAGGTTTGTGTGTGTGTGTGTGTTCGTGTCTTGAGTGTGTCCTGTCGCCACTGTTAAAGCCTAACGGTGTGTTTGAGTGTAGCTGTGTCTCCTTCCTCTCTGAACATTAGCCTGTCATTATCTCACACGCACACACACACTCACACACAAACAGAGGTACACAACCGACAACCTTTCATCTCTGTCAGTGCCATCGTTTGTATTTTTGTGTGTGTGAGTGTGTGTGTGTCTGCCAGTGACAGTGTAATTACACAGACAGGGGGATATGGCCCCTAATGCCACAGTCTTACACACTTAAAAACCCGCTTTTAACATGAAAGCTCACACACACACACTAACACACACACACACACACTCACACACACTCACACTCACACACACTCACACACAGGCTTGCTCAACCTCAATAAAAGAACCAGAGACAGTGCGGGTTTGCATGACTGTGTGTGTCTTCAGTGACCTTTTTATGAGAAAAAAGTAGGCGTCACATTTCTCCATCCTCGCACAGAGCCACATAAACGTTCACGGACACGTATTAATCTTTATACACTAATCAATATATTTATTTTACTCTTGTTTTCTTAACTTTTTTTTATTGACTATAGTAATCTCATCAATGCTTATCTCAACCCAAAACCTGAATCCAAACCTTCTTTGTTAAGCAGAAGGATGTTGACTTTCAGCACTCAAACTCACCCCGCACACACACTGCACTTATCCACTTTAGCTGAGCTGATCAAAGGGAGAGCGAGCTAAGAGCAAAACAAAGAGAGAGAGAGAGAGAGAGAGAGAGCTGAGGGGTTTCCAGGTGTGACTACAGGCTAATAGCAACGTTAAGGTGGCAGAGGGACCAGCAGACGCAGCCTGGGCGACTCCACTGCCCAGGGAAAAATGCGCATGACCTGGGGGACAAAGGCAGGGGGTACCCTCCTCCTCTCCCTCCTCAAAGCCAGTGTGTGTGTGTGTGTGTGTGTGTACAGTATATGTGTTGTCTTTAATTAGCTTCCTCTGTCATTTAGCCCCACAGGCTCCTGTTGACCTGCCTCTGACTTGAATGCTGATTTTTTTTTTTTACCTGCAGCAGAAAGACTAACATTTAGTCTTTTGGCTACACAGCTTCAAGTTTCAAATTTTTATTTATTTTTTTTTCCATCTGATAATCACATGTTCCTAAAATGAGTACAACTTTTGACTGTCGGTGCAGCCACACGACAGTTTTAGCTCTGACAAAAGGAGTCAGAAATAATCCCATTAGCTGAGTAAAACCAAGAAAAGCTCTCTGTCTAAAGTAACGGTAAACTGAAACCCAGTTAAAAAGGCAAAAGTTTCAATCCAGTTATTTAAGTTAGCTTTTTTAGCCTCCGGCGTTATGAATGTCGTGGCTGTGAGTGAGCGTTATAACGCTGATCTTTCTGAAGCAGAAGTGAAAACCTTTCGATGCATCTGTTGCAGCTGTTCATGCAAATAGCAAAAAAAAAAAAAAAACCTGGAATCAGAGTAAATTGATAAAATACAAATTATGCAAAGGCGGCTGTAGCTGCAACTAGACTTTGATGCCTGTGAGACGATACAGTGATACAGTAGATAAAGGTTTTTGACTGCAGTTCCTATAATTAAATTAAATCATGTAAAGTTAAGCTTCGGTTGGGTTTTTTTGTTTTTTTTCAGGTTAATTAATCATTAAAATCTCAGATATCGCCGAGTATTTTCTGATTAAACTTAGGAAGAAGACGCATCTCATTATTACAAAATACACGTTGTGTCCCAGTGGGGGGCACCAGAGCTACTGATCTAAACTTAGTAACATCCTGTGTTTTATTCCTGAGGAGCGCAACAAAATCTACTGTTGTCTGCGTCGTGTTTTTCTATCGGGTTTTTTGCTCTTTCTGGCGCAGTCATAGCAAAACCAGACGTGTGTGAGTGAGCGAGTGAGTGAGTGTGTGGGTGTGTGCGCGTGTGTGTGTGTGAGCAAAATGACTGAGCGTGCACCGCTGTCTCCCTCCCTCACTTTCTCCTCCTCTCCTCTTCTGCTCCTACTCTTTTTGTCGTTGTCGTTGAGCATTCTTCAAGTGTTAGCACTTGGAAGCACCTGTCAGCCATGTGTGCGCGCGTTGTGTTCAAAGACGCTCTGCCGCGCCGACAAAAACACTCTCTCTTCCCACACACACACACACACACACAGTAATAAGCGGGACATGCCAAAACATTCACACCCATTCTTTTCATCTCAAACACATGCAAGCTCACACTGTGCGTGTGTGTGTGTGTGTGTGTGTGTGTTGGCTATTCACCCTGATATATTTGCCACTTAAAAAAGACCAGAGGAGAAGGTGGAGGAGGGAGTGCTGGAGGTAGAGCTGCGCCTCCCACCCCCTCTGTTGACTACTTGAACTTCCTGGCAGAAGGGCCGTGTTGACAGATTGATATCTCCAAGATGGCCGCCCTGTTTGTTTTCTGGAAGAGGGAGAGAGGGAGGAGGAAGAAAAGGAGGAGGAGGAGGAGGAGGTGGAGGAGGAGGAGGAAGGCTAACTGATAACCTCAGTGTTTACACTGCCGCTATACTACTGATGCAAGGGTCACTGAGTGTGTGTGTGTGTGTGTGTGAGTGTGAGTGAGTGAAGGGGTGAAGCAGGGGGAGAAAATTTCACCAGTGCTGGCACTCAGGATTTACCTTGACAGCATTCATCTCTTATACACACACACACACACACACACACACACACACACACACTCCCCTCTGGGCGACCTCATGGTAAAAAGTTGACTGGGTAGTAAATGAGCTTATAGATAATAGACGGCGGCGTTTTAAGGGCCCGACTGCAGCCATTTAACAGCCGAGATGTGCTGCTAGCTGACATCCCGGGGCTTTTAGAGTGTGTGTGTGTGTGTGAGTGTGAGAGAGAGAGAGAGAGAGAGAGAGAGAGAGCGCTCCTCCTAATCCACTCTTTCATCATGCAGAGGAGACAGTAGGTGTGAGTGACCTGAGTGAGGAAGCTCTAATTTAACCTTTTGACCCGGAAACAATAGTGAACGGCCAGGAAAAATTAGGAGCTTGATCAGATGTGTGTGTGTGTGTTTGTGTTTGTGTGTGTGTGTTGGCCAAAAGTGGAAGAGTCAACAAATCAGACAGAGGCCTCTGTGTGTGTAATTTGTCACATTGTGTGTGTGTGTGGAGGGCAGGTGGAGGCCAAGCTTTTTCAGGGGATATCTTTAGCAGGAAACCTTCCATCAGTCCCGTCTGTCTGCCACCATTTTGATTTTATCTTGATTTTATTTTTACACACACACACACACAATCACACACATACAAACACACACAGTGCCCAAAGGCAGCTGTCACGCCTCACTTCCTGTCTTTTGCACCCCCCCATCCCCCCACCGGCCGCCCCATCTCCCCTCATGCTCGTTCGTCAAATCTGTCACCTTAATTGGCCGACCGAGTTACTCATGGTGTTCCTCAACCCAGTGACACACACACACACACACACACACACACACACACACACACACACACACACACACACCTCTGCCGTCCTTTTAAAGGAGTTTGAATATTTGTATTGTTAAATAAAATTAATGAAAATCATGATTACTGCTTTAAAATTTAAAATTGTATTAATGGGCCCCAAGGGGAAGGAGGAGGCCCCTGTCTGGATCTGGTGAACTCCCCCTGACCTCCTCTCTCTCTCTCTCTTCAGAACAGTCTCTCCTGGAGGTCAAGCAGCAGCAGGTGAGCGGTGAGGAGCGTTTGGTCGAAGGTTCCAGCCCGTCACCCGTCGCAGTCACCCCCACCCCCACCCCCACCCCACCCAAGAGGGAGCACAGCGTCCTCTCCATCCTGCGTGGCACCAACAGCACCTCATCAGCCAAGAGGGAGCCCAGCCGGCCGCTCCCCACCCGCCCACGCTGCGCCGACAGCCCCGAGCGCCCCCTGTACCCCCGCGCCCTCTACCCAGCTTTCAGGCCCCACCAGCTCGGCTACCCCGCGACTCGTTCCCCTGGCAACCAGTCCTCGGCTACACCCAGCCCGTCGGCAAGGAGCAGCCCAGACAGCAGCCCCCAGGGGAGCCCCTCGGGTCCGGTGCCATCCCCAGCTTCTTTCTACCCCACCGGACTGAGCCCCTACCCCGGGTACTCCCCACCATCTGCCCCCCTCTCCTCACCTTTTTACCCTCCAGGAGCCCCGTACTCACGCTACCTCCTGCCCCATCACTACCCTCTGCCTGGCGGTGGTGTCCCCACCGTAGGAGGGATCTTTCCCAGGATGTACCCCCTCTACAGCAGCCTCCTGCCCGCTCACGTGCCCCTCCTGCCCTCTGACACAGCAGGGAGGCGCTTCCTGATGCCTGACCACGTCCACCCTTCCTCCGTTTCTGCCCACAGAGACTTCCTCCTCCCCGGGCCCACCAGTGCCTTCTCAGTCGCCACCTCTCTGAAGGACAAAGCGGGAGCTCACCACCCTTACCCCGGGCACCCTCACTTACACGAACCGGCCCGCGCCCCCTCCAGCGGCTCCCCGACAGCAGGCACGGCGCCGCCCAGCGAGCGGGTGCCCACCAAGCCTACCTCAGCCCTGCTGGGCAACGCCAGCGAGCATCACCCCGACGAGGAGGCCATCAACTTGACCAAAGTGAAGCGCGGCGCCGGCTCGGCGGGCTACAAGGCGCTGCCGTACCCGCTGAAGAAGCAGAACGGAAAAATCAAGTACGAGTGCAACGTGTGCAGCAAGACGTTCGGGCAGCTGTCGAACCTGAAGGTGAGGCTCGAGACACCGCCAAGTCGTTCCGTGTTTGGCTTTCAACATCCTGTCTGCTCGTCTGATTTACTGCCTCATTATCATTCCACTCCTTTGTAATGTGTCACTGCAGTTAATCATTAGGCTGCAGAGCAGGTTCCAACCAGCTGTTTTACAGGAAACACAACTAGATGGCGTCTTTGATAAATGCGGTGTCTGAACATTTTTCTTTCCTGTTCTCCATCTTGCAGGTTCACCTTCGTGTCCACAGTGGAGAGAGACCCTTCAAATGTCAGACCTGTAACAAAGGTTTCACCCAGCTGGCCCACCTGCAGAAACACTACCTGGTCCACACCGGGGAGAAGCCACATGAATGCCAGGTGAGAAACGAGGCTGGCGATGACGTGCTTTTAATTTCGTAGACAGACACGTTAATGGCGGGTTTCCTTCGAGCCGCTGACGTCATTTCTTCTGTCATGTCTCCTCGTGCAGGTTTGTCACAAGCGCTTCAGCAGCACCAGCAACCTGAAAACTCACCTCCGCCTCCACTCGGGGGAGAAACCGTACCACTGCAAACTCTGCCCGGCCAAGTTCACGCAGTTCGTCCACCTCAAGCTGCACAAGCGCCTGCACTCCCGCGAGCGTCCGCACAAATGCCCCCACTGCCACCGCCACTACATCCACCTGTGCAGCCTGCGGCTTCACCTGAAGGGCTACTGCCTGGCGGCGACCTCCGGCTCCAGCAGCCCGGCCAGCCTGGAGGAGGTGCACCGCGCCAATGAGGAGATCGAGCGCTTCGACATCAGCGAGCACGCCGAGCGGCTGGAGCAGCTGCAGGGAGGGGTGGAGGTGGAGGCCATGTTGGAGAAGCAGGTCCTGCAGGGGATCCTGTGGAGGGAGACTGACCTCAAGTCCTCCCACTTTCACCCCCACCACAAGGACGACGCCGCCGAGCTTCTGTCCGCGGGTTACGGCGCGTACGAGTCCCCGAACGAGACGTCGGTCATCAAGATGCGGCACAGCGGCCCCGTCCTGCCGCTTCCCGCCAACGTCACCGTCAAGCAGGAGTCGGAGGATCACGCTTAAATGACCCCTTTCGAAGTCAAGACTGCATGACTCACAGTGGACTGCGTTGCCAGGAGCAACTGCTGTAAATAAATAAATAATTCTCCACCTGGCTGTCATCAGGAGTGACATCATGACCACGCCAGGTGTTCAACCTATCAGGGACTCGCGTACTCAGGGCTACAAGAGACACTGTCCCATGACTACTTTACTTTTATTATACTTAGAGACAATCACCTACCCTTACCTTTAATGTAATATAATGCTATTATCATTATTGTCGTTGTATTATTTGGTCTTTATTTTCAAATGTCTTCTTGTTTTCTTTTGATCAATTAGTTGTTATATAACCTCCTTAATTTATTATACTTTTTATTTGTTGTCTTTAAAAGCAATAAGTGGAGATAGCGGTTCCACTGACAGGGTGAAATCAATGTTAAAGACTATTTTTCTGTTGATTTTGTTTTTTCTCTGTGGCCATTTCTCTGTAGATAGTCACTCTCTCTCTCTCTCTGTCTCTCTCTCTCTCTATGCCTATATCTGTCCGCTAACCTCTGACCTATAGAAGCAGGGGTGTCCACTCTTCAGGGTTTTATCTATTTAAATTTAAAAAAACTTTTAAAAAAAAACAACATAGCAGGTTTAAAAAGGGTTGAAAAACTTGCCAAAGTCTGGCACATAAATGAATCTGTTAATTTAGCAAGAAGAGCTTTATTTCAACCTGCTTCAGAGCTTCCCTAAAAGTATGTCTGTGTCGTTTTCTGATGCCTACTTAATTTAAATGAAACAAACAAAAGGGCATTTTTTTTTGTATATTTTTCACAACAGTTACCTCAGTGTGCATGTGACGATACGAGTGTGTGTGTGTGTGTGTGTGTGTGTTTTAAGGGACAGCTGAAAGTGGGAGCTTTCTATTTATTTGCTTTTTTTTTTTTTTTTTGCTACTTGAAAAAGAAGAAGAAGAAGAAGAAACCAAACTGAAGCGGAGTGCAGCTCTTCATGTGGTCCAAAGGAGCGGCGTCGCCCGCTCAACATGTAGCACATAACGGACTCGGGGGGGGCAGACCGCTGAGCCCCCACCCAACCCACCCACCCCCCCACCTCTCCTCGTCCGTCCTTTTGTTTTGTTTTTATACAACACTGTCAACAACCAGCAGGGAAGTGAACATCCTCAGATTTTTTTTGAGATTCACTCTTGACGCTAGTAACCAAAGTTCATGTGGCTTTAATTTCTAAACGAACACCAAAAGAAACAGACACACACACACACACACACACACACAAAAAAGAAAAAGGAAAAGGAAAATCAAAACAAGGGAAGGACTCGAGGAATCAAAATGCTGAAGAAGGGAAGATGAACTGTGTGTATATGATGATGAAGTGTTGGCTCTTTAGCTGTGGTCACATCGTTTTGTAAGATGTTTTTTTTCTTTTGTTCTGTTGTTCTTGTTGTTTGTTAATATTTCAGTTGAGAAACAATAGCCCCGCCCCCTTCTTCAACCCCCACCTGTCTGCTATCTCGTTAATGAACTGGCATACACCAAAGCACCTCGGCCCTCTTTTATGCACTGGCCCCCACCTCCCTCCCTCCTTCCCTCCCTCCCTCTTACTTTATAACTTCAATGCCGACGCTTGCACCATTTACACTGTGTACAATATCACTGAAACTGGTCATGATGGCATTAAGACTCACCTTAATGTTACTACAGCAGCCTCAACTCTGCAGCTCTCTCTCTCTCTCTCTCTCTCTCTCTCTCCTTCGTCATCTTTCTGTCTCTCGACATGTTCGACCAAAGCATCTCTTTCTCTCTGATCAGAGCTTTAACTCCAGAGGAGAATTACCTAAAGGACTGTCTCTGTTTACATTGTGGTTTACATACTTATTTATGTGCAAATGTCAAAAAAGTGTAAATTATGATATAAAGGATTCACTGCCCTAATCTAAACCCCGTGGCTCTGTGTGTTTTATTCGTGGATCGTGTGTTTTGGTATAAAAGTCTTCTGGGCTCATGATCTTCATATGACTTTTTATGTAGCGCTATAGACAGAACATGCTCATGTTTTTTGGTGCATGGGCGTCGTTAACTGTGGAGAGAGTTACCAACCAGAAAGCATCAGAAGAAGAATTTGTGCTTTACTGCAGCACCCGACACCTGAGGATTTAGCTTATGTCCGACACGGTTAGTGCTGGCAATATGAACAACACACGGGCGGTGTCCGGCGCCGGGTGGAAGGCGGTTCTAGCAACGGCAACTCAGGATGTGCGCTAGGCCCCGGCTCCAGAGGCCACGCCGTCCATCGTTGGGTCAGATCAGACTGCAGACCAGGGGAGTCCGGCTGTTTAACTAAAATGAAGTAACTAGTTTAGTCATTAGTTTGGGAAGTGGTAGTGACCGGGGGCGGGGGGTGGATGGATACGATGTTTGCTAGATCCTTTTTTACTCATCTTATTGTCAGCAGCCATTTTGAAGTTTCGAAAACGTTAACACACATAACTTAATCAAAACCCTAACCCTACTTAAGTCCTGCTGTGACGTATGGCAGTAAAGTTTTATCTTCACAGAAAAGATTCACAAAGCAGATGGCAATGAACGTCAGAAACAACAGCATAAACCCAGATAAGATATGAGAGAAATAAATTGTGATATTATATATATATATATATATATATGGAGATAACGTCGCACATGTTCAGGAGGTATTTACACAAGGTTATAGGGAGAGAATTAGAAACCATGGCTACTTTCTCACATCTGCACAGCTGCCCAATCACACCATGAGGTGGGTGTTAGTGTGATGTGGTTTCAGAAGATTAAAGAAACGGTCGGACACAGGCCCCGCCCCCAATCTGAAATTGGAAAGGTGTAGGAGGGAGGGGGGTTTCTGAAGTTGCCTGACGATCCGACGGCGGTTTGGACCGGGTATGAAGCCATTTTTATCATCCAGAGCAACAAGCGTGGGTGGTGAGTTCTAGTTACTACTGTATCCTCTCCAGCATGATCAGAGGTGAAATCAGTCAAATAAGAGCAGGAAATGATCATGTAGGAATTGGACTGATGGAAAGAAAAGAAAACGAAAACAGGCAAAAAAACACAGAATTAGGTTTTTTTTTTTTTTTTTTTTTTAACTTCCAACCCACTGATTCACAAACTCTTCTAACTTTAACCACTGAGCCCGCAGTAAACCAGGCTGTTTGGTGGAAAGCCATGAATCTTTATGTCCACATCCGCACAATGCCAAGCTTTAAGACTGGAGCAGGAAATGGGGAACACCCGCTCCCCGTGTCCTCTGGGCCGCAGTAACCGAGGTCTGTCTTTTATCCTGCGTGGAGACAACGTGACTCGTTTTAGAGCTTCGGCTCCGCAGTCTCCGTTAAAATGTGGATGTTTAGCCGATGAAACGTATCTGGAGTGACACCCGATCACCTTTGGAGCATGAGCAGTACATGTGGCTGACAGCTGGAAGGCCAAAGGTCAACACATTAAGGGTCAAAGGTAAAACTAATATAGCAAATTATGCCAGACGTGACAAAAATTAACCAGAAAACTAAACTGCAAGTTTATTTTTCGTTTTTTTTACACAAAAAAATTAAGTAAATTTAAATGTCAGATATTTCTGAGTCTATTCAGGCTTGGCAACAACAATTTATGACGAATTTGAACTCGATGAGTTGAAGACTGAATTTCTTCTGTCGAGCAGCCAACGGTGATAAAAGACATTCTATGTTATTAAAGATCCCACAGAGAGTAGAAGAGTCACTGTATGAGAAAGCAGTATCAGTCCGTTACCTCATCACCCAACTCAAAACACTCGGTGCGCCCCCACCCTTTGACTCAGCATCTTTCACTTTTGCGCACTGCATCGCTCTTTCCTGTTTGTTCGATCTTATTATTACTATCAGGGAAACTTCTCGAGTCACCCATTGACACAGCGAGTTCCACTACCTCAGCGTCATGACGCCGGGGTTTCACAGCACTTTTCTGACCGGGGGAGGACTACACGCCTACCACCACACCGGGGGAGGGGGGATATCCCACATGGCCCAGAGACACGTACCGAAACGCACAGGCCTTCCTTCCACTCGCCTGAGCCGAGCTGAGGTGAGGCTGTTTTATCTGCGATCTGATTTCCCCACAGGGTCTGATAAAGTTTCAAATTTGATCTCATCTTACACAGTCCTCCCTTTCACATGAACAGCTTCTCCCCAGAGAGAGATACCCACAATTTTGAAGAAAAGAGACGCCCACGATTTAAAGTTAAAGGAAACTGAAGTCCATTTCAAAGCTGGCTGTTTAACCTGGTGTCTTTTAGAGGTGATATCCTTTCTACATATGTCGATCTAATTAGTTCACAGTCATTTTATATGTGTTTTGATATAATTTGGACTCTTTTATTCCACTTGCGATCAGAAGCAGCATAAAAATCACTCGTGCAAAAACCTAAAGAAGGAATTTCACTCTAATAAAAGATTCAGTTTTGTCACTCAAAAGCCCTTAACAGCAACTTTGTTGTTTAGGAATATGTATCCACTTCCTGTTGATGCTGACACACAACACTGAATCGGGTCAAAGATGGCGACCTGGGAAGACTTCCCCACTCTCGCTCTCTCTCTCGTCCGCCACTGTTTAGAAATTAAGAGTGCTCTCTCCCATGTTTCCTGGTGACGCATCTTTCCAGACAAAACCCTTGTTAGGATTCTGCAGCAATGTGCAATGTGTGTCCAATTTCAACATTAATGGCGTTGGGTTTGTTATGTAATGTGTTTAATTTCAACATTTGCGGCTTGACTTGATGGCTTGTCTCATACCAAGAGTCTCTTGGGTTTTTTCATCACTTGGCCATGACAGCGATTCTTCTTCTTACTTTGGCATACGTGGATTTTGCAGCAATAATCCATCTTCTTTCCACTTTTTTGCGGTGCATGTTAGTGTCGCTCTCTGGCCGCGTCAGCACAAGGACCGGCGCTAGCAGAGCTCTGACAGATCTTTTCCTCACTTTGATATTCTCTGTCTCCGTCTGTGTGGTGTTCTGTTGCACAGTGCACAGTTATTCATCACAGCGATGCAGTGCAAAAGCGAATGGTTCGTATTTTGGTGGGAAATGGGTCAGTCCGCTAACCCAGCAAATGTGTTTTAAATCTGCATTTAAAAAATAACATTTATTGTGGTTAAAAACGCATTATTAGTTCCTGTTGTCCACATTTGTGTAATTAGCATTAGCAAATGAGCATTTTTGCTAAAATCCATTATGTTTACATCATGCATTTGTACTGATATTCATTAAAATGCATTGTCCCTATAAAATAAACAAACAAATACATAAATATTACCGTATAAAACCACCTAAAGGCAGAAGGATTTGTGGACCACTTCCACAAACCCAAGCGCTGCCATTTTGTGTTTGTTGTTGCTCTGGTGCAGTTAGAATAGTTCTCCTTATGTGTTCATTTAATTTACTGCCTATGCTGCGATGGTGTTGTCAGTGTTTTTAATATTATAACTTTTTTTGTCGCTGGCCTGGCAGTTACCCTTTAAAGCTTTCCCTTTTTGGAAGGACTTTTTCGTTCCATATTTATTTATTGAATGAATTTTAATGCAGCAGTAACAGGAAGACACTCTCCACCTCCACCAAAGGAAGTTTATGATCAATGGCAACGATAGACAGATGTTCTTGGGTCAGATCTTTCCACAGCTGGCAGACCGATCGCCAGTGAAACTGTTTCTGCGTACTTATGATTCCGCGAGGATGAATCCCAATTACTTGACCTCTGACCTTTCATCCACTGCCTTCCATGAGGCTGAAATTTCCCTCCTCTTGTTCAGATTCCCCTGAATGTGTCCTCATGATGCAGCTTCAGACAGCGAGGCTGCAGCGGAGAGTCAACAGTAAACAGTGCTGC